GTTGTTAGTAAATAAGGTGTAGTTAATAAATACAATTTCTTATCTGATTACACTGGTTATTAGCTACTTGTTGGAAATTTAATATATATGACCAATATGAGGCTTGACATTTCTTTTGTAATTCAAACAGTAAGAAAATTTATGCACTAGCCTAAAAAATTTCTTTTAAGATTAGCTATTAGAGTGTGTAGATATTTATAATTGAATCATGGTAAAGCGGGAAACATGCTACTATATCTCATATGGATGTTGATTGGGGGAGGTATTTAACTACACGAAGGTGTGCCTATGGTTTTGTTTATTTCTTGGTAAGTCTTTGATGTCATGGAAAAGCGAGAAACATGCTACTATATCTCACTCCTCTCTTGAAGTTGAATATAAAATTTTGGCATCCATAACATATGTGTGGTTTAAAAAACTTATAAGGGGTCTGAGTATAAAATGTCACTTAAATGATGAAATTTTATGTGGTAATAATTCAGCCATCCAGTTAACTCTAAATCCAGTTCCATGAACAAACCAAACACATTGATATGGATGTGCATTTGGTTAGAGAAAATGTTATGAAAGGAGTGTATGGTTAAGGTTAAAAAGGTTGCTTCAAAGGAACAAGTTGCAGATGTGTTCACTAAATCTTTTAATGGTTTAGAACTATGTGATAAAAAAAGATGTTTAATCCCTTTTATGGTTGGGTATGAGGGAGGAAATTGGAAATACTTAAAAGGATAAGCAATCTCAACCTCTAGATCTTTTACTAAATTATGTTTGTTTTATTATTGTTCATAATAATGGATGTTATTATGCCACAATAATGTTGAACGTATGATAAAGTTAATGAGCTAAAGTACTTGATTGTTAGTTGGGTTGTAGTTGGGATAAAGATGATGTTGTTGACTCTGTAAAGTATTAAAGATGATGAGATGATTTCGACGTTGTTAAAGAGTAAAGGTACTAGGACTTGTTTCTCCTAAACTTGAAGGAAAGGTGTGTGTCTTCATGATCCTTAGGCTGGTGGGTGTGGGCAATATGTTAAGGCACGTTACCACACCAAAAAAGTGTCACCTCCCATGTCATGTCATCCCATGATGTTATAACACCAAGTAAGAAAATGGACAACATGTTATAACACCCATTAAATTCCATGTCATCATTTTTTTTCGATTTATTTCTGTTTATTTTTTTCAATTTATTTCTTTTTGATTTATTTTTTTTCTATTTTTTTCCAATGTGTTTTTTTTGTTTTTTTATTTATGTTATTAGATTTATAAAAAAATTATAAAATACTAAGACATGCTATTAATTAAATCCTAAATTAAACATAACATTAAAAAACTAAAAATAACATTACATAAAAAAAACATAGATCGAAAAAAAATACGAAAGTCCTAATTTAAAAACATAAAACGATACGATAGTCCTAATCCAAATATTTATTTTGAATCTTCTCCTTCATCTTTCGAAGCACTTGCAAATCTCGAGGCACCATATTTTCCTCGCTAGTTTGAAGAGTTGTCAAATCCTTCGGGAACCGTAGCTTGTGTTAGTTGTATAGGTGGTGATTGTGTGGTTGTTTGTGGCATGGTAGTAAACGTATTGAAAAGATTTTGTTCAAGGTTTGGGTTTCGTTGCACATAGGGCGATGTAGGAAATTGCTTTGCGGTGAGGTGAAATTGAAATAGTTTCCTGAAAATGATATTTGTGGTGAGTTTTGAGAGTTGAGGAAGTTCATATAACTTTCGTATTGTGCGAACCTCATCAGAGCGGATGTGTTTATGTTTGGAGGAAGGGTGTTCGGGTTTTGTTCCATTGTTTGGTTGAAAGAAAATGTGATTGATTTTTATAAATAAAATGAGAGAGAGAATAATGATGTAGTTAAAAAAGTAGGTATATATATGTGTATTTATATGTAAAGTATATATGTAAAAAAAACAATTTTTTTATAAATTACTTTTTGACCATTCCTTTGAAAATCAGGCGTTACAAATCGTTACCATTGCAACATGAGGCAACGCAAAGGGCCTTAACGACATTGGGGGGGGGGGGGTGTTCACGACTTATAATTCCGTTATAAGTGTTTCACGTAGACAAAGCGGACCTTAGCCGCCCCACACCTACTAGTCTTATTGAAGCTTAGTTACAAACCAATGTGTAACATCCCAATTTTCAGGTATGAATTTAAAAGCTTATATATGTATTTCCAGGGCAACTCGACGAGTTGGAAGGCTCCAACTCGTCGTGTAGAATATTTAATGCCCGCGTATATTTCAATGTCTACTCGACGAGTTGGAAGGCCCCAACTCGACGAGTTGAAGGCTGGACATGAAAACCCTAATTTGTAGGGTTTGCACCCTATTTAAAGGTCTTAACTCTCATTGTTGTCCTCCTTCATCGCCTCCTTGTCCAGAGAAAAACCCTAGTTCGTGCTTTTGCTCTTATTGTGTGTGTGTGAGAGAGAGAGAGCTTAAAGAGTGATTTTGGTGCTCTTTTGGAAGGAACAAGAAGCTTGAAGAAGTTGGCTGAAGGGAGAGGCTGTAGATCTGGTGTTTACTCTGTTGTGGCAACCGTTTTGAGGTATAAAGTAGATACCTTGTCCTCTTATTGCTTAGATCTACTTCTATGAAAAGATATTGCTAATCTTGATCCATATTGGAGTCATTCTTGGAATGATGCATTGTTTGAAGTTGCCACTTCAGATCTGGATGTGTTATGGCTCTTTAAGCCTAAAGTTCCAAGCTTTATCAAGTAATGCCCCCTTCATGCCCTAAATCCATTGATAAGCCTTATTTGAGTGTTTTAGCCCCTTTGATGCCATGCATGGACGTAAAGTTAACAACTTTACGTGGTATCTCAGTTCTAGGGGACCAGATCTATAATTTGGGGCTTTGGTTTTGCTTGGAAATGTCTGAATGCATTAAGGCTAGGAAAACTTGACGAGTTGCCCTGCCAACTCGACAAGTTGGTTCGGGTTTTCCCGCCTTCTGGATACTGAGCGAACGTGGCAAGTTGGTGAGATAACTCAGCGATTTGGCTAGGGTTTTCCCAGTTTTCTGAACACTGAAGGAACTCGACGAGTTGCTAGATGCACTCGACGAGCTGGGTCAACATGGACTGTTGACTGTTGACTTTGACCATGGTTGACCAAGTTTGACTTTAAAGGGGTATTTTGGTAATTCAGGATTTTAATGAAGTAAGTCACGTGGTGGTTGTAGGCAGTCGAGATCGGAGTTGAGAGTTGGGGTTTGATCTTCTTGATGCAGCAGGTGAGTTTTCCTCACTATACTAAAGGGTCTAAGGCACCAAGGCCGACCCTTCGGATTGTTATCCTGCTTAATTATTGTTATGATCTGTTAGATCGGTATCCTGGTAGATAGGATGTTGATATGCTTAGTGATCTGTAGATCGGTTTGACTGTCTGTAGACTATTATGTGATTATTTGATATATGTGCATATGTTTGATTGGTGGTTGAGGCTTTTCTGCTTTGTGCATGAGCCAACAGACCGGGGCATTCCAACCCGATGGTTAAGGGCCGAGAGTATTCCATCCCGAGGATGATTGGACTCATAGTATGTGGGTATTTCAACCCGATGGTTGAGGGCCGAGGGTATACCATCCCGAGGATGATTGGACCCATAGTATGTTGGCATTCCAACCCGATAGTATTGTTGTGCGGGTATTTTGGGGGAACTCACTAAACTTCGTGCTTACAGTTGTGGATTTTGTTTCAGGTACTTCGGATGATCGCGGGAAGGCGAATGCTTGATCGTGTACCTCCTCATTTTTCATGTTGTGATTTCTGGGAAAACTCTGATATTGGATTATTTTGAAAACAATTTGTAAACAATAGATGGTTTTGAAATGTTTGAAAAGTTTAAATTTTACATGAATTTTATGAATGTTACACAATGTATATAATGCCTTAGTTTAAAAGTGGAGTTCAGTATGTGCATATTATTATTTATTTATCTTTTTGTATTTTTGGATCAAATGTCTTAAACACAATCTATGTTTGCTTGGTAATGTTCTTCTATGGGTATATATGATTTGCATATGTATGTATAGATATGCTCGAACATATGTAGAAAAACATGCACATATAAAAAAAAAAGTTTTTTTTTGAGGATTTGTTTTCAGCAAATGTCCTAGGCGATTGTATAGGATTTGTTTGATGTTTTTTTTTCTTTTATATTTTGAGAAAAAAAATTCATTTTAAATCGATTTATAAAATTTCTAATTTTCATTTGATCCCAAGTCTATAACAATATATGAATGCACAGTAATCTATCACCATTGATATGTCAATTTTTATCAGGTGACATTTTATTTGTCAAATTAATGCTAATAGCTTATAACATTTTACGTGACACTTTAATTATATTTTTATTTAGGGCATGTTTGGTAAAACCAGCTAGTAGAGCTCTACTGTAGAGGGTAGTAGTTTGATGGTAGCCGGTAGTTGGTAACGTTTTGTTAAACGCTACGTGTGATAACTTTTGGATTTGAAGCGTTTTGTTTAAATTAAACGTTAAAAAGCTTGTAGTGTCAAACGATGTTTTTTGTTCAAAACGGAACGTTCAAACACTGGAAACTAGAAACTTTCTAACGCTCTGCGCCGAACACATTCTTACTCCTTATAAATTAAGTTTTGGTTTTTTATATTAATCTTCCAACACCAGTCCGCCATCATAAACAAATTTATATTTATATCTAAATCAAACCTAAACGCAAGCAACAAAAACTAATTACATTTTATTGGGTTGTCGGCAGATCTCCGTCGTTTCCAGGGTTGTAGAACCCTAGTTGAAAGTTATGAGCTTTTTTTTTATTTTTAAAAGGTTAAAAAGACCCTCATCTCATCTCCAAAGTCCAAACAAACCCTAATCATTCAAGATATCGGCACTTTGGGGAAAACGAAGGGATAATATTGCATCAAAACTAAACCAAAATATGACCATGATCATATGATATATCAACCGAAAATGTGTTAGAAAATTAATCATATATGCATTCGTTACAACTTGTTTGCTCCCATTGTTTTTAATCTCGATATATTCCATACGATACCTACTCTTATATATTCCTATATCGACATATATTTTTTTATATATATGGAATATATAAAATTGCTTTTAGAATTTCAAACCATGCATGCCTTCTATCGTTTACGCTTCGACTTAAGAGCAGTCATCGAATTTGAATTGCTATGCCAGTTTCTCTTCCTTTGATTGATAAACCAGTTGTTAATTTGCTTTAATTGCAGCCCTGTCTCCTCCACCAGTTTTGCTTTATCATCTTCCTGTAGAAATGTCAACTTAAATACCCGAACCCGACTATATATAATTTAATTTAATATTATCATAAAAAGTCAAGTAAACGGAATTATTACAGTTGGGTATGGCCATTTGGAATGTTGTTGCCACCAATCTTTGAGGACTGAAGTCGTGTCACCCGGTAATTTTCCTGCCCTTCGTTTGCGTAGAATTTCCTCTCTCACATCCTCAATTTTCGATCTGAATCCCTGTAAGCATATACATTAGATGTTTGTATAAATTTAATGTACCTGTTAGTGTTAGTCAGAAATGTGGAATCATAGATTTTTTTTATAAAAAAAACCCTTATGGTGAAAATATAAACTCCAACATATATGTTGAGTCGGATATGTGGAATCCTAGAGACAGATGAGACACAAAACATTGTTTACGCTCTGATACCAAGTTAGTTCTATATGTCTAGCCAGAGACTAGAGCTAGCGAGACTCCACCATAAATAAAGACATATAAGACTGTATACAATAATTAAAAGTCTAAATAAAAAAAAAGATTTAAAAAGACCTGTTTAAGTTCAATTTTGAGTTCTTGACGGACGCGTTCCATAAGTGAGCGTTCAGATTCAGTAGGAAGAAGAGGACCGAAACCCATCATGTCATGACCGCCATCCATGCCACCGGATTGATCCAATGAGAAATCCATTGGCATTTCGTCCTCATCATCCGACATTGTTGCACCCGACCCTTCTCCAAGTGTTATTCCTAATAAAAATCAAATTAAATTAAAGTATTTTTATTTTTTACTTGTAAAACTCAACGGTACTAGTATAATTTAGAATGTGGAAATGGGAAGTGATGGATTGTACACTACAAGTCAGTCTTGCACAGGGACAGGCAGTAATAAAAAGGAAAATTTGGTTTTATACTAAATGTAGATTCGTATTCAAGATACCGTGACGAATTTAGTTAATCTTTTTCATTTAATTAGAAATCATTATTTACCAATTTTGGAGATTTTGCAGTACAATTTCGGGAAACACAAGAAAAGACTGCATGCACTGTAAATTTGTCCTTCATCGATTAATTTATTTCTATCTTTTGTTTTGTTTTTTATCATGTCTGATTTTTGGTGGGTTAAATTTAAAACACACAAAATTGTAATCTTAACCATTCTGTTTAGTCAAAACCAGATTCTAGTTTTAAGAGTAAATAAATAACATAATTATTTAAAAATCTCTAATTACTTTTGTCAACTCTAAAAATTTAATGGCGTTTGTCAACTTGTGAAATTCTACAAAAAAAAGGATTAATATCATAGAGTCATATATATATTCTACTTTGGTGACAAATAAATGTTCCTAAGACTAAAGCCTACATCACAAAGGAATATCCAACAAACATAAATTTTACAAATTAAAAACTAACCCTCATGTTCTATTTATTTTTCCTTGATAATTAATTCTAAAGAAACATCAGTTGTTAGGTGTTGTTGGTTTTGTTGTCACTCTTTGTTCCCCTCATCAACCCAACTAACTCAACCTTCCTTCTACTCCTAACTATAGATTATAAATATATATAACTAATTAAATAAATACTTTTTTTTTAATAAAAGAAATCTCCAACAGCCCCCACGTTACACCCATCTTAATATCCCCATTTTTATGTTCTTCCTTTTTATTTATTATTTATCTTCAGATTTGCTGGTATGGGATTAGTAAAACCTTGAAATTCTTGTATTTTTCATTAAATAATCAAATCTTTTTCTCAAGAAACCACCCATAACCCTAAATTAAATACATAACCCTAAATTATATATATAATATATATATATATATATATATATATATATATATATATATTGTAGAGAGAGAGAGAGAGAGAGAGAGAGAGAGAGAGAGGGGTACCAGTGAGAGCTTGAAGGTTGTGTTCGATTTCTCGGCAGGCCATGACAGCTTCAACAGCATGAACTCTGACATGTTGCTGCAACTGTTCTTTAAACGAACATAAAACTAACAAATACTGTGCCTGTACATTCAATTAATTCATCGCCAAAATAAAATTAAAAAAAAAAAAGATATGTTAAATCAACGAAGAATAATTCCATGTTATGAATAATAAACGAAAAGGTTGAAATCTTGTTGGAAAAGAAATTACCAAGAAGTTATCGAGGTCTTGGCGATCATGTGGGGAGAGAGATTGGTTGTGGTGGTCGGCGATGTAAGAGCGAAGGAGGTGGTGGGACTGGGAGAGTTGGGCGTCGATGAGCGGCAGCTGATCAATCGGGGTGGCAACACGGAGACACGCTACATGAGCTGAGAGAAGCTGTTCGTAGAGTGGGTGGTTGGCTATCTCCGCCTTGAGCTGGCGGTTTTGATCGCCGGAAAGTGAGACAGCCATATCTGTGAAGCCACCACCAATCCCTCCACTACCACCAATCATCCCTAACCCTTGTTCTTGCATTGTGTTCTTATTTTCTCTCTCTAGAAAATGTGTTTGCAGGTATGGATTGAGATCATGTGAACAAAAGGGTTTGCTAAGAAAGCAAAAACAAGAGGTGGGGTTAAGGAAATAGGACCACTTGTACTTTGGAGAGAGCTAGCTGGCTACCTATCTATGGCAGTCTTTCCCTCTCTCTCTCCCAATCGCAGAGAGAGAGATAGATGTAGAGAGAGGGAGAGAGAAAAGGGTGTTATGATTACAGATCTTTTGGAAGAGAGAGATGGCCTTATTGGGATCAGAGACAAGAAAACTTTCTGGACCAGTTCTGTGAAGTCACAGATTTAAGCATAAAAAGGATCCCTCTTTCTCTTTCTAAAGAGATTTTCAGGGTTAGATGGTGATCAATACAGGAAAAAGAAACAAACCTCAGAGACAAAATTAAAGATAAAGTTTTTCTTTTCTTTTCCCAATTTCTTTCCTTTCAATTTATGTGACTTGATCAAGAAAGAGAAAGAGAATACTTGTCAAAGCGAAGGATAATCACCCAATAAAGATGTGTATATGTGGCCCCAAGGTTTGTTGTTAATTAATTAAAAATTAAATTTATAATTATCATCAATTTTGTTAATACTTACTCTTTTTATAAGAATAATATTAATTAGAGTAAAATATATTTTCTTCTTTAAATTTAGCTAACTCTTTTAGTTTTTGTCTTAAAGGAATCGTGTTGTAATGTTGGTTTTGTATTTGTGGTATTTATAATAACTTTGTTTTTGTCCAAGTAAAGTGATTGTATTGTTTTTTTAACTTTTAGTAAATATTTATTGTAAAGTATATTGCTGTTATTATGTTTATTTATTATTTGTATTATTATATAGGACATATTGGTAAATTAGCTGGTAGCGGATAACCACAAACGGGTAGCTGGTAATGGGTAGCGCATAGCGTATAACTGGTAGCGTTTTGTTAAAAGTTATGTGAGATAACGGTTAGTTTTGAAGTGTTTTGTTTAAACTAAATGCTAAAAGCTTGTAGTGTTAAACAATATTTTTGTTCAAAACGGAGCGTTTTTTCAACGCTAGAAGCTAAAAGCTTTCAAAAGCTATGTGTCAAACATGCTCATAATCGTAACATTTGAAAACAATTCAAGAGAAAATCGGTTAGATTTGTTTAGGTATGAATATAGACTCTTAATGTTTGCCATCAAAACCTAGAAAATTATGAAATCAAAGACATCAAGATCATAAAATCAAAATCAATGAATATGATAAAAAAAAGATTAATATTATGAAATAAAGAACATGGGTGGTTTACAACATAAAATCTGAATTGATGAAAATGATAAAAAGAATATCAATATTATGAAAAAAATTAAACATCCTCTTACCTTTTTTTCTTATTCATAATCTTACTACTTTTAGATGATGACAAGTATAATAAAAACTTATTAATTTTATTAAATATGACAATTGTCATAATCTTAAGTGTGTAGGGAGATGGTAGAAAAAAGAAGTATGAGGATATTTGATTTCTCAATATGAAATCAAGAACATGTTCGTAAACCCATGTTCATGCTTCAAACTCGCCACTAATTTGGAAGAAGATGATAAAACTAGACAAATAATCCTAAACAAATCAATGAAATATAAAGCGGGTTTAAAGATGAAAAACCCACATGTCTTCTTTGCATATTTTTCATGAAACCCATGATCATGCTTCAAACTCGCCACTAATTTTGGAAGAAGATGATAAAAATAGACGAGGAATCCTAAACAAATCAATGAAGTATAAAGTGGGTTCAAAGATGAAAACCCACATGTCTTCTTTGTATATGTTTCATGAACCAAATTTCAAGGTTTTCCATGGGTAGAAATATGAAGGAGACGGGCGAATTGCATTTATTTTTATTTTTAGTTTCTTTATTCATTAATATCATATTGTTGTTATGGGATCGAACAATATATAATTTATAGATCATAATAGTAACATACGCAAAAACATATATTTTAAGTTTCTAGGAAAACAATAAAAACTGTCCATATGGTTTACAATTTTTTAACAGAAGTCCAAAAAGTCTCAAGTTGTAAAAGCAGTCATTTTAATAGGGTTTAATTGTGATATTGATCCCTCAAGTTAACACCCTTAACTACAATAAGTTAAGCCCATGTCAAATTATAAAATTACCCTTATTTTATAAATTTATTGAATTTTTCTTGGCACCCATGTTTTGTTGAGTGTGGGCTCTATCCACTCCCTCATAACTTTACCATCTCAAAACCTAAGTTCGTATCTCCCTTTCATCCCTAAACACACTGCCATCGCCATCAGCTACTCACGACACCTTAGTTAACCTCCATCACCGCAGATATCCACCAAAGTCTATCTTCAATTCCAAACACACTACCATAATCACCATCACCACCACCTCCACCGCCTATACATTTGTCATCATTGCCCCCTCCCCACCCCTCATTCTCTTTCCTTGTCTTCTTCTCTTCCTTTCCCTACATGTGACTAGAAAGCCCTAATCCATTATCGAGATTGTAACACCCCGTTCCTAGTACACATTTAATCTATTTAAAGAATTCATTTTGTAAGAGCTACTCGACGAGTTGGTAGCCCTAACTCGTCGAGTAGATGCCAGCTTGATCGCGGGGTTTAAGTGGTCTACTCGACGAGTCGAAGCCTGGACTCGTCGAGTAGGTCCATTAGGAGGAAACCCTAATCTTCAGGGTTTGCAACCTATTTAAACATCATATCCGGCCTCCATCCCAGCCTCTATCACCTCCAAACCCTAATCTCGAAACCCTAATCCACCTTGAGTGATTTGGAGCTAGTTATTGCCATTTTTGAGTGTTTTTGTGCATTGTGAAGCTTGTGGGAGAAGAAGAAGATAAAAGGCTCAAAGGGGAAGAAGTAGATCCAGGAGCTACACTTCATTTACTGCACTTTCTGGTAATCAAGTCTCTAACTTGATCCTTCTTCTCTTAGATCTATTTGTTTGCATTTTATGAAGGAATTGGTTCAAGAATCATTGGCCCTTGGGATTGGGACGTCCCAAGTGATGTATATCTCAGATCTAGGGTCTAGGAAGGGTTCCATGCCATAAAGGTGCAAACTTTATGACCATGGAGACTCCATGCAAGTTTATATGCAAGAACATGGCCTTTTTAGCCCTAAAAGACCATGCATGGGAGGAAAGATCGGGACTTTACGTGTCCCACAGATGATAAGAGCCTAGGTCTAGTATATTATGCTTTTGTTTATGGTATTATGGCTTGTAGACCAAGTATTATGTCTTAAAGAAGTTAGGGTTTGGGTTAAACCCATTAGGAAGGACTAAGGACGGGTATAGTTGGAAACTTTACCCTTAGGAGTGCATTTCCAGTATGTAGATGAAGTTTGGAACATAGATCTGAATGGTAGGAGCTTAATCCATTGAGATGGCTCAATCAGACAGGGAACTCGCCGAGTCCAGGGAAGGACTCGACGAGTTGAAGCAGCTTGTCCTGTTTTTTATGACAGCAAGAACTCGACGAGTCTGTTAAGGGACTCGACCAGTTGACTCAGTTGTGTAACATCCCAAGATTGGTCATTTGTAGTCCCTGTGGATGGAAGGGTGAAGCCATGAGAAGCATAAGGGCTAAATTGCAATTTAGGGATCAAGAGGGGTACGCTGCGCGTACATAAGGGTACGCTGAGCGTACTAGGCGCGCCCTAGTATGCTGAGCGTACACTTGTGTATGTTGGGCGTACTCATGACAGAAGGAAACCCTAATATTTGGGGTTTGGGGACTATATAAGCAACATTATGAGCACCAAACACCTCCCTTACCTCAGCCTCCACTGTTTAGAGTCGTTTTCCCCAAACCCTAGCCTTTTCCTTGAGTGTGTGAGCTTATTGAGTGTTTCTTGAGTGTTTTAAGAAGAAGGTGTTGCATCAAGGAGTTAGAGGAGAAGATCAAGCTTGTAGATCTGAAGTTGGTTTGTGCCCTAGAAGCTCCAGAAGATAAAAAGCTTCAAACTTTATGCATATATGTTTAGATCTAGCCATTTTGCTTTAAAGAACCATTTTCTTGTCCCCAAAAGTCCCAAGATGGTGCATGATGTGATTTGGACGAAATGAATTGTCCTTCTAGACTCTTGAAGGAGTTTTGAGTGATAAAAATGAGGTCTCAATGGCTTAAGATGTCCCATGCATGGAGTAGGAAGGTCTTAATGGATTAAGACCAAGTATTAAGAACTTTTTGGACATCCAAAGTGATAAAGTTCATGACTTTATGGGTCCTAGGCACATTTGGTCACTGGATATGAAGTTAGGGCTTAAGTGCTTAAGCCACTAAGCACTTATTAAGTTTTTGGAAAAACGCGACGTACGCCCACCGTAAATCCAGTACGCCCAGCGTACTGGGTCAACCACCCCGATGGTGGTCAACATCAGAACGAGTACGCCCAGCGAACCAGAGGAGTACGCCCCGCGTACGTCCTCTGTTGGGCTTTTGACATTTGGGCTTCGGGTTTTGGGTTGTTTATGGACTAGTTGGATTTGGGCCTTTGCTGGACTTTATGAATATAATGTTTGGGCCAATTTTTGATAATGGGTCTTGGATTTAGGCCCAATTAGGGAGTGGGGACCAATTTGGTAAATTGGGCCAATAATGGGCTTTGCATAAGGACTTTCATAGTTATGGACTTGGCATTGGGCTTTGGCCCAATAAAGAGAATGGACATGATGGATTATGTGGACCCTTAGTCAAGACTGTTATGTGGTGTATTGACTTGGTATTTATTATGTGATAGTTCGGGATTTCCGGTGAGACAGCAGTCAGAGGTTCGGTACTTCAGTACTACTTGCGAGGTGAGTTACCTCACTATACTAAGGGGTCTAAGGCATCAAGGCCGGACCATTGGATATCATATCCTAGCAGTTGGTAGTATGTTGAGTATGAGTTAGTGTTGCATGCTAGTTGCTATGCCAGTTAGGTAGATCTGTAGGACTACCTGGATTATTATGTGATTACTTGTGTGTGCATTAGTTGTGTTATATGTCGACATATTATGTGGGATGGGTTGAGGTGATACTGCTCCATGCGGTAACCAACAAACCCGGGAGCATTCCAGATACGAGCTGAGGGCCAGGTAGGGCATGCCAGACTCGTACTGTGGGCTCGGGAGCATTCCAGATACGAGCTGAGGGCCAGGTGGGGCATACCAGACTCGTACTGTGGGCTCGATGGCAATCCAGATGTGAGCTGTGGGCCTGGAAGGCAATCCAGACTCACTTATGGGCCCAGGGGTAATCCAGTCTATAAAGCTGTGGACCCAGTACATGTTGTTATTTGTATATGTGTTATGTTCAGTGTATCGGTATTTTGGGGAACTCACTAAGCCTTGGGCTTACAGTTTCAGTTTATTATTTCAGGTACATCAGGCGATCGTGGGAAGGCAAAGGCATGATCGTACAGCTCCTCATATTTATGTTTATGTTTATGGGATACTCTGATATTATACATTTTGAAAA